CTGTATGCATCAATTGGTACAAGATGTCTTAGCCTTTGGCCCCATCATCCCATGATGGAGGGTCTTCACATGATCTTCATACTCCCAGAGGAGTGCCCAGGTAACAGCACAGGGGAGAAGGGTTGTGGGATATGAGTGATTCATGGTCCAGCCTTGTCCTTTACCACTCTGGAGAGCATGTGAGGATGCGGGGGCTGAGACTGTATTTGTGCCTAGGGTAGGTAGCCTTGAATCAGCCTTATTTTACAAAAGAGCAAATCAACATCTATATTTTTCTAAAATTAAATTCAGTTCAAGCCATCACTCATCAATGTGGGTGACAAGTCCAACAGAAGATAGTTTTGGTGCTCCCGTTTGTGTCCTTCCACTTTGGGATGACATGCCCCCCACACCCATCCTGGGGTCTAGGTAGCTCGATGAAAAGGACCTTGAACCTCACTGCTCACTGCTACCACCCAGCTGGCCCTGCCGGCTGCCCCTTTCTCATCCCTGAGCCCCTGGGCATAGGTCCTGAGGAGAGGTCACTGAATGCTGATCCTCTCAAACACACAGCCTTTAAAAGTTCTGTAGCTTCCAAGATCCCCTGAAATCGAGAAGTCCATGAGACACCCACCTTTGAACTGACCTGCAACCCCCTTCACCATTCCAGAGATCTGTGCACTGCTGCCATCAGACTTTCCTCCAGGTCTTTTTTTTTCTAATAGCAGTTTTGTTGAGATATAATTCACGTGTCATACAATTCAGTGTACACTTCACTGGGGTTTGGTATATTCACAGAATTATGGAACTATCATCACAATTTGAGAACATTTTCATCACCCCTAAAAGAAAGCCTGCACTCATCAGCGATCACTCCCATACCTCCGCCGTCTCCAGCCATAGGCAGCCCCTGACTTACTGCCTCTGTGGATTTGTGTCTTCTGGACACTTCATGTAAATGGACTCATACAGTGTGCATGGTCTGTTATGACTGGCTTTTTTTCACTTAGCAGAATGTTTTCAAGGTTCATTCACGTCATGACATGTAGTTGGTTCCATTTTTTTGCTGAACAATATTCCGTTGTTTGTATATACCAAATTTTATTTCCTCTTTCATCAGCTGACGAACATTTGAGGTCCTTCAGTTTAAAGCATCAAGCCTTCCTTCTTTAGCTCTTTCTCTCTGGTGGCCCCAGATCAGGGACCACAGAGTCAAATGTCTGTCAGCTCGGTGTAAGAAAGATAGGAGTGAGTGCCCCTCTAGAAGGAGCAGCCACTCCAGAGCCATTGCCAAGTGGCCATCCAGACCTGGTATTGTTAGATCTTCAGACTATTCCAGAAAGGCCAGAATCTGGATTTTTATGTGAAAATTTTCTAATTTTTAAATGTTGCTCAATTGAAACAAACCTCCTGTGGGAGAGAGAAAATACAATTCAGGCTAAGACTAAATGCTGAAGGCAATCCCTGAGGGATGCAGAGATATGTCTCATCTTCGGGAGCCTGTGAAGGGTTAGCTGGAGTGTGAGCCCACCTGGCTATTTCTGTCCTCTCCTGGGGCAACACAAAAAAAGGCCGTTCATCTCTTTGGAGAAAGGAAGGACCCAGGTCTAAAGTCAACACTCTGGATCGGAATGGGGTGGAATTCCTCTCATTCTTTGGCTCATGAGTATGCTGGAGCAGAGAACACAAAGCACCAGCAGAATGTCCACACTGAATTAGCGCTAAATTGTACTGCAAATTGCTTGTACCCTACTTCAGATTGAATTGTAACCTGCTAGCGTGACCTTGGTTCTGACTTCATGGTTGAGAACTGCTGATCCTGTACAAGATGTGCTCTGAAAAAAAAAAATAAAAAATGTGCCTTGAATTCGTGGGGACAGATTTGTAGAAATGGGAGAGGAGAAACAATGATTGGTCCCCTTATGTTGAAAGACACCACAGTATTGTAAGTTGGGGAGTGGAAAATATTGAGATTTGTAACAACAGTGAGTGTTTATTGAGTAAATAACCACTGTGCTCGCCACTGTCCATTTTCCATTTTGTTTTGCATGTGACCATGAAAAAAGCGGGTGTTTTTAAAGGGAAAGAAGTTCATAGAACCCGGTATTGGTGTAGGGCTTGGTATTTGCAAAGAGGTTTTAAATTCATTCATTTGAACCTGTGAGGATGAGCATTTTTACCTGACACTGTTTTATAAATGATGTCACTGATGGGAGGACAAGGGCAGGTGACTTGATCAAGATCATCCAACAAAGGAACCTCGAACTTAAATCTGTGTCACTGGATTCCAAATCCTACGTCTTTTCCACAAATACATAGCTGCCCTTTTAATACATTCCAGTTTTGGCTTATCTAAGTAATATGTATAGATATTTTTAGACTTACTAACATAGCATTTTATTTCATATTTACATTTAAAATACAAAATGTAATTTGTATATTTCACATTTATATTATATATTATTTATATTTCATATTATTTGTTATATTAACACTGTTTGACTCTCCATGGATATTACCCACTCAGAAAACAATAAAAGAAAATGGTGATTTTCAAGTGTTTTAGTATTTTCATATTCTTTTGTGTCATCAACATTAATTTATTAATAAATTTGGAGCAGGCATGCACCTTAATTCTCAGACATTATACTTAAAAAAGTATGAGGATGAGAAAACAGATATGGGGGATATTGTGACCAAGTTGGTCGTATGGAACCCTACCTGGGCCCTATCCTAACCAAAATCCCAGGCCTCAGGCAGGGAGGTTCTTTTTCCATTCGGATTTGCACAGCCAATAATAGAAACCAAGTCTGAAACCAAAACAGCCAAGCTTTATTCAACAGCCAGATAATGGAGAAGTGGGAGCTTAGTTTGCAAATCCACTTCTCCCCAGACTTAGGCTGGGATACCACAGATACAGAAGAGCCGGGGGTTAGGGGATGGAATTAGGTAAGAAGAGGGAGGAATATTCATGACTTCTCAGGCATAGGATTGTAGTTTGCTCGAAACTGGGGCAGCACCCCTTTTCAGTCCCGTATGGATTCTTCTAGTTGTTATTGCCATAACAACTGTCATGTTATTGCCATAACAACTGTCAACTGTCATGGTGTTGGTGGGCGTGTCATTTAGCATGCTAATATCATTATGAGGCTCAGGGTCTTCTGAAGGTCAGCTCTTCCGCCATCTTGGATTTGGCCACTCTAACCATTTCTGGTGGGTTCTTGTTTTTTTCTCCTCTGGTGGTTTCCTGTAAAACAAGGATAACACTTCTCCACAGCTGCATCTTACGTTCCCTCAAGGAAGAGGGAGAGTTAGAGCTGGAGGCTAACAGCCACGGTAACTGCTTCATTAAATTAATCAATCTCAGCCAAACAGTCTATCCCTCCTTTCCTTCCCCTCCCTGCAACTTCTCTCCCTTCCCTTTTGCCATCTTTTCTTTCTTCCTCTTTATTTTCTTATTTTCCCAGTAAGTAATGGGATAATTTATAAGAAGCCAGAAATCCTTCAGGCTCAATCCTAGTTGTGCTTTTTTGCTCAATACATTTATTCATTCAGCAATGAACACATTTATTGATCACTTCATTCGTCTGCTGTAACAAATTAACACAAACTTAGTGGCTTAAAACAACACAAACTTATTACCTTATAGTTCTGGAGTCAGAAGTCTAAAATAAAGGGGTCAGCAGGTCTGCATTCCTTCTGGAGATTCTTAAGGGGGAATCCATTTCCTTATCTTTTTTCAGCTTCTGGAGGCCACCTGCATTCCCCAGCTCCTGGCCCCTTCCTCATGTCATTCTTGCTTCTGTTGTCACATCTCCTACTTCTGCTTTGACTCCCTTATCTCCCTCTTACAAAGACCCTTGTGCTTGCATTGGGCCCACCTGGATAAGCCTTATGTTAAAATCAGCTGGTTAGCAATCCAGTTCCATCTGCAACCTTAATTCCCCATCCCCCAAGTCAACTAATATATTCCCAGGCTCTGGGAATTAGGCTGTGGGCATCTTTGGGTGTTGGGAGTATTATTACATTTAGCATCAGTACCTACTACTTACATTCTGCACTGACAACTGGAGACCTGTGTCTCTCTCCATTTTTCTGTATGAGTGACATAAACAAATCGCTCATCCAGTGACCCCCCCCCCTTCAGACACACAGCAGATATACCATCTTCATTTGTGTCAGCTAAATGCAAAGCACCCAGCATCTGATGTCACCCCCAACCTCAAAAGAAGTCCCTCCATTTGAGGCAATAGCTGTGGACCAGTATCAAGCTCACTATGACACATCCAGCGTGGCCGCTCATTGCTGAAGGGTGCTTTTTTTCTTTTATTGTAATTCTCTGTCCTGTCACAGGTAAACTCACACTCACTTAGTATAGAAGCTGACCTTTGTTGGCCCCATCCATTTTCACAATGATGGGAACTACGGAAGTATGTGGAGTTTATCATCTCAACGGTGACACTTGGCAACTAAAAGGAGAAATTATTAATAATCATGCAGGAATAACAGGTGTAAAGGAGGACTATTGGGGGAACATAGAGTCCCTCTATACATTGAGTCCAAATGAATAAAAACAGCCATAAACACTGTGACTATGAAAAGACGTTGAGTACCCATAGGTTCAGAGTGCTGGAGTAGAAGCTTCATGTACTTCACCTTGTTTAATTCTTACAAATCTTATAAGGTAGGTGGTATTATTATTATTGTTGTTGTTGTTATTATTCATCCTTATTTTAGGGTTGAGGGAAATAAAGCTCAGAAATTTAAAAACCTAGCTTAAGCCAGCAGTGGGTGAGTTAGAATTTAAACCCCATTTGGTAAAACACTAAACCAAATGCTTTTTCTATTACATTGCCTTCCAGGAAAAAGGATAATTTCTTGGAAATTGTTAAATTGCAGTTGCAGTCTGGGCACCCTTGGGTACCAATGTATGAAGTTACCTGTTAAAGATACACAATGTCTTTATTCTAGGTGTGTGAAAACCTGGGAGCTATAAGAGATGCGTTTTGTTTTTCGTTTAGGTCTGTCAGTTTGTCGTCTCTGTCAATGGGCTGAACGTGCTGCATGTCGACTACCGGACCGTGAGCAACCTGATTCTGACGGGCCCACGGACGATTGTCATGGAGGTCATGGAGGAGTTAGAGTGCTGAGCGACTGGCCCTCCCCGCCCTTCCCGTGGCCTGTGGAGGATCAGAGGCAGAGCACAGAGCCATGCAATGACAAGACTTCATATAGATGGATGGCTTTGGACGTACAAGTCTTTTCTCCGTATATACACATCCTAATTTGAGTTTCATACACTGTTTCAGTTTCAATGTAAAAGAATCAGGTAATACATCTTTAAAAAAAAACAAACAGAAAAATCCCAACTACTGTCAACGTAAAAAAAGGTTTGAGAAATAATTTTTTTTACATAGGAGCATTGCCTTACTTGATTTCTGTTTGCAGTTCTCATCCGTTGTTTTTTTAATCTTAGTTCACAGAAAGTTGTTGAAATGCTTCTCTAGCCAAAACAGCCATGTGCTAAATTCCCCTTCATGGGAGTCAATAAAGTAGTTTTTACAGACTTGAAGTTGTACTGTCACCAAAATGAGCATGGGACTGTTTATTAAGGGAGCTAGATTTCACCGAACTTCAAATTAAAGCAACATCCAAAGGAAGAGTGCTTATTAATTGCCATTTTGAAGGTTCTAAAGCATTCAGATACTTGAAAGCCATCAAAAGTGGACTTTCTCTTAATTCCTGCCTTTAGTATCAACTTGTTACTTAACATGTGCTTTTTTTGTTGTTGTTCTTTTTTTTAATTGAAGTACAGTCAGTTACAACGTGTCAATCTCTGGTGTATAGCACAACGTCCCAGTCATGCATATACATACATGTATTTGTTTTCATATTTACCATGTGTTTTCAATTATGGCATTGGTCAGAAAACAAAACCTTTATGATGGTATGGGTGGGGTAGGTGGGGAGATACTACTTAAAACTATGTGCTCTGTTTTCTCTTTCTGAGGCTAAATCATTGTGTTCTGTCAATCAGCAACAGCAGCTTCTAGAAATAATCCTGAATGTGTTGAATGTCAAAACAGACAAGTTTGTATATACACATATAATTCAAAATCAAGCCTCTGGCAAGATTTCACTTTGAAGTTGTCCCTTTTTAAGTGAAGTATTCCAGAGCTTGTCTCATATGTGATAAAACTTGAAACTAAATTGCCTTATTGGCTTGAGTTTTTACTAGTTTTCTAGGGTAACATATTCTAAGGACATGACATGACATGCTGCTTGTTCATTGGGATTATTTTTTCACTAAAAGCACCATCTTGTATTTGTAACTTTTCAGCTCATTTGTGTGTATACTTTTTTTGGGGGGGGTCTGGAAAAAAATGCATATAGGGGCTTGGTGTGTAGAGGAAATTCCTCCCAGTGCCAAATTAGGGAGTCAGAGAATGCTCAATTCCTTTTATTTTCCTATAACACATTCTGAATGGCAAGGTTACTTTCTTATCATGTATTAATAACATAGGAACGTTGGACCTCCGCCATTTTTTGGTGATAGGTTATCACAATGTAATGGCACTGGTGGAACAGACATACTGTGCAAAAGATATTACATGTGTATGTTTCTGGTGATCCAGCTTTTCTGATCTGTAGCTTTCGTCAGAGAATAGGATTTTGAAGAAATACAAAATGGCTGAAAGGAATACTGTCCGTCCACATTGGAGAAATATTGTCGCCTCCGTGTGTCTGTGCTTTTATACTGTGCGCCAGGCTCTGCGCTACATACACACATGTTCTCTTTTAATCCTCCTCACAGCCCTGCAAAGTAGGTATCATCACCCTCATCTTTCAGACGTGGAAACCAAGTCTGAGCAAGTTTTAAAATGGTCTCTAAGTTCACGCAGTTGCAAGAACTACCAAGCGGCAGAGCGTGGATTCAAACACGAGTGTATTTAATGCTACAGCCCTCGTTACTCCCTCTCCCACTGGCCTCTCCCCCGAACCTTTCCCCATGGAGGGACCTTCCTCTGAGGGCTTATTCTGTACCCAGGGCTGTGCTAAAGCTGTGCGTTGCCTGTCCTTACTGACCTGTGACGTCAGTGTTGTCATTGTCTCCATTTTACAGCTGAGGAAACGGACTCATAAAGAGGTGGGTCACGTGCCCAAGGACACGCAGCTAGTAAATCGGAGGCCTTACCATTAGGCTTAAAACAAATGCATGACCTCTCTAAAAAAATGCGTCCTAAATGCCTTCTGTCTCCAGGTGTTCATTAATGGACAGAAGACGAGGGGAAGCCTTTCAGGAGTGGCATCTTCTTCTTGCCGGCTGCTTGTCCTTTTTACTCACCGCCTAATGCCCGTCGTCTTGAAACTTGGCATAACACCACTTCCCTTTAGCCAATCTAAGCACCAGAGAAGCCTCTGTCTTTATTTACTTGACGCAGCCTCCTGCCTGTGAAATTTCTTTGATTCAGAGAAAGTCATTGATGTCTTTGCTCAGATGCATACTAAAGTGAAGGAGGGAGGGAGGGAGAGGGGAAGGAAGACAGGAAGAAATGTTTCCTCCTTTGGCTCCTATTACCCTCAGCTTAAAGGTCAAATGCCAGAGAATTCTACTTAAAGCCAAGAGAGCATCACTTGTAGCCCCAGCCCAACCCTGACATCCTCACCCTGCAGGTAAATTGGATGCTCTCTTCCTAGGGGCTCCGATCTAGCTCCCTCTGGCCTTTGCACATGCGGTTTCTCCTCCCTGGAATATTATTCTTTCCCCTTTTTGGCCTGGAAATATCTGTCTTATGAACTCCCCTGAGATATTATCTCCTTTGAGAAACCAGCAATCTAGTTCTAGGATTGATGTTCCTTCTCTGAATTCCCACGGACCCTTAAACACCAACCTCCTGTGGTTATAGCAATGATGACATAGACTTTGGATTTGTCCCATTACATGTCTGACTCGCTAATTACACTCTAAGCGTGGGCAGAACAGGACCTGTCTTGCTCCCCAGGTATCCCCTTCACCCAGCAGAGTTCCTGACACAGAGCAGTGTCAGCCATCCACTGCTGTCTAATGAAGCAACTCAAAACATAGCTTATAACATTATTTGCTCCTAATCCTATGGGGTGGCCTTTGGGCAGAGCTCCATCTGCTAGGATGACCAGCCACTGCTTGATGTGGTACTGGTTGGGTTCACACAAACATCTGTGGTCAGGGAGCATGTTGGTTGGGGGCTGGCTGATCTTGGATGCCTTTGTGCAGGTATCTGGCTTTTGGCTGGGGTGTCTCAGTTCCACTTCACATAGCCTTTCCCCACAGCTAGTCCAGGCTTCCTCATTAGACCTCAAGAGCTCAAAGAGGGAGAGAATGGAATCTGCAAGATCCTTTGTGGACGTGCTTGGAAGTCACGCAGTGTCACCACCATTGCACTTTGTTGGCCAAAGCAAGCCACAAAGCTAGCTCAGAATCAAGAAGGAAAACAGACTCTCCCTTTTGGTGAGAGAAGCTGCAAAGAATCTGTGGCCATTTTCAATCCCCCAAGGGGAGGTACTCACTGGTTTTTGAGTAAAGGACCAAGAAGCTCCCTAGTTACTGGAAGGCTTCAGCTACCCAGATTAAATCACTACGACCAACCACTGGGTAGAAATAGAACATTTAGTTGTGGATAAAGCCCCGTGCCTAATGAAAACTTCAAAGTCAGAAAATCCTAAAATAATAGTGTTACATGGAGCCATGGAGAGCACGGTTTTTATTCTTTTCACTTTGCTGAGGAGGAAACAGGTGTGGAAAGGTCAAGTGGCACACCCAAACCCATGAGGCTTGTTGGGGCCAGAGCCTCGGCCAGACATCAGGCCCCTGCCCTGCAATCTTATGTCCTTTACAGTCTCGCCTCCTGCAGTGGAGGGCAGTGCAGTGAAAATAGGCCTCTGGCTTTGGGTTATTCATACAATGCAGTTGTGCAATGTACCTGTGACGGCAAAATGTGTATATTTTAACTCAGGCGTTGGGTTGTTTAATCGCATCACTAAAAAAATAAATATTTTGTATGATATTTTGACAGTGGAACTGCTTTAAAATTCAGAAACTCCATTCCTAACTGCAATATCAAGAATTATTCTAAATGAACAGTAAGCGTATTTTCTAAGAGCTTTTATTTCCTACATATGCGTGTCTGTGTGTATCAGTATATTGCGTGTGAGAGTTCACTCATGGAGAGTTCAAAGAAATGGCTTTCTTTGTTCCTAGGGAAAACACTTTTGATTTTTCAGGGTTTCTGTAATGTGTCTGTGTATTCGTGATAGAGATGGAAGTCGTTTTTTGTGAATTCATTAGCATAGTATGTGCTGTCAGTGCAAATTTGAAAGCCATGTTGGTTGATTCAGCTGTAGAGAGAAAAATGCAGCTGCCTTTGGGGTTCATTCTGTGATCTGATGTTTTCTTATTAATCTCTGTTAAATAATTGTATAAACTGATAAATTTAGTTGACAAATGGGTGGGCAACATGAAGAAGATATCCATGTTTGAGTAGATTAGATGCGATCAGCTTCACACTACCTTATAAAAGGTGAATGCATTGGAGTGGTAGGAATTAATAATTTACAAATCATTGCTTTTAGTCCAGAATAGAGTCTCATATTTCCAAATACTCATTCCTTTCAAATATGTTGTGAAAAATCACCTGATTTCATTATATTAACTATTATATTAACATATATTCACTATTCTCTCCTGTTGAATATTAATCCTGTGTCATTTTGATTATAAATGATCAGAATAACTCTAGAACATTTCAGTTTTGCTAATTGGTTAGATTCTATTGGTGTCACTGCCCATGGTTTTACTCATTTAAGGCAGAATTCCAGTGGTAATATGTTTTCCCTCCGTCCAATACCAAAAGCATAAATCCACAGTGTACCAAAATAAAGTTCATAATCAAAGTTAGTATATGGTATTGTCAAATGCATTAATATATGCACTTAATATATATGTTTATTTTTAAATTAGGTAGAAATTTATTTTCTCCCTTTCCTACAAATTATAGCAAAATACTTAAAATTATAATATGAAAATAGACAGTCTAGCATGAAATAAATGTTAAAATTTTTAAACACTGACTTTAGGGTTTCAGCTTTTCCTGTCTTTTAGAACAAATTAGCCATTTTTTAATCCTAAAAAAGGGCTGCATTATAAAGCTGATCTACAATGCACCTATCAGAGAAAACACATGGGACTCATATCCAACTCTCTAATGTAGCCAGAAGTGCCATTTGTAAAACTACTTAATGATGGATGTTTTCTGAAGCCCTTTTGCCTGGAGGGAAAAAAAAAGTGCATTAAAAGCTTTTTCTGTACTGTATTTGATTTGGAATCATTTTCTCCCTACATAGTTATTGATGAGTTATGGAATAGTCTATATGGAAAAATGCTATGTGGTTGGTTACTGTTTTGAGAAATATGTTAGTTCTTTTTTATTTTCAAATAATTGGGAAGTCAGTTACACAATTCCATATGTGTAGGGGGCGGGGTAAATTCAGACTACACTCAGTATTCACCAAATGAACTTTACATTTTCCTCTCATTTATTCACTTGCTCATTCATTTATTCAAGAAACCTCACTGAGGACTTGTGTTTTGCTGGACAGTAATACATAGGCCTTGGGAATACAACACTGAGTAGACAGGACACTGGAATCCGCTCATCCTCTAGAAGTCACCTTTGGGCCTCTCTCCTAGAAGTCTTCTCTCCATGGAGAGGTGGGAATATGAAATTCTGGTGTTTAAACAGGTGTTTTATTACCGCAAACTCACCATCCAACCCCAGAATCAGAGCACTGACAACTTACATTTAACTATTGTCTCTTTCCCAATCCTGTCCCTCACTTTCCCTTACCTAAAGTGAGCACACTGATGAGTGAATTCTGAGTTTACCATTCTTTTGTTCTTTTTGTTCTTAATAATTGCTTAGGTTTTTTTTTTAAAGGAACTTTATTAAAAGAGCATCAAGTTTTATATAAACTTCTGGGACTCGCTTATTTTCATTCAGGAAGACACTACTAAGATGCTTCTAGATTTGTGTGTGTGTTTGTAATGAATGCTCTTTTTACAGCTTCATAAATTATTTGTCTCCTTTCTTGTCAGTGGGCATTTGGGTTGTTCCCATCATTGTTGTCATTGTCATAAAAAGGATTCCTGTGAACATTCTGATACCATCTCCTGGGAATAAGAGCAGGAGTTTTTCTTCGGTATCCACTGAGGAGAAGAATTTCCGAGTCACAGGAAATGTGAATACTAATTTTACAAGGTCACGTCTCACTAGTTTTTGAAGTGGTTGAACCAATATAGATGCCCACCCAAAATGTAGAAGTGATAGATGTTGATCAGTAACTCCTCCACCACCTACATTCTGAAACTTCTTAATTTTTGTCAAATGTGTATTTGGTCAATGATACTGAGAATCCTAATTTGCTGCAAAGCTCATAAAACTTAAAGCACAAAAAATGTAAGAAGTATTTTCTGATCCTAACTTAGTACATCCGTATCTTCAAAATACCTAGGATGTCTTTGAAATTTACCCTGCATCAACTCTGTGATTTTGATGAGGCAAGGATTATTGTAAGTCATACAACATACTCAAAAACATCCAAAAATAATTTATTAAGCACCTGCTGTGGGCCTGTCATTAAGTCTTTTAGCCAACAGCAGTAAATAAGAAAGGTCCCAGTCCGTACGAAGTTACATACTCTTGGGGGACTGAAAGGAGTTCTGCACCCAGTTCCATCAAGGAGAAGGATTCCCTCTCCTCCACCACCAAGCGATGCTCAGACATCAGCTGAGCGTCCTGCAATTCCATCCTACTCTGCACTACCTCCTCGGAGAGAGCATTAGATCCCACAGGTGAAGGGTTCAGTCCTCCAAGACGGCCCCTCCCCTTCACTTCAGCTGCCAACGGCGAGCCTCGGTTATCACCTGTGCTTCTGACCGAATGGATATAAATCAGGTTCTCATGACCCTTCCCTTGGGTTTGACTAATTTGCTAGAGCTGCTCAGAGGACGCAGAGAAATGTTTTACCTATTAGATTTACTGGTTTATTATAAGAGAGTATAACTCAGAAGTAGCCAGATGGAAGTGATGCATAGGGCATGGTGTGGGGAAGGGGTATGAAGCTTCCACTTCTCAGTGCACACGACCCTCCCCCATCTCCGTGTGTCCAAATCCTGAAACTTTCCCAGCCCCAGCCTTTCGGTTTTGTTTGTTTGTTTGTTTGTTTCATTACATAGAATTAATTAAATCATCGGCTGTTGATAATCAACTCAACCTCCAGTCCCTCTCCCTTCCCCAGAGGTCAGGGAGGTGGGACTGAAAGTTCCAACCCTCTAATCCTGTGGTTGGTTCCTGGCACCACCACCTTTAGCTGTGTTTGGAAAGTCACTGATTAACATAACACAAGACACCTTTATTGCTCTCCTCACTTAGGAAATTCCAAGGGTTTTAGGAACTCTGCCAGAAGTGGGAAAAAGACAAATATACATGTCTTATTATGAATCATAACATCACAGGGACACAGAAAATAATTAAATAAATAAAATAACTCATCTTGGATGGGGGGAGTTTTAAGAAGTAAAGGAAACTAGATGGGGTGATAGAGAAGGGCCAGATTTCACGTGGTGGTGAGCGAAAACGGCTGCCACTTTGCTCAGTTCCAGTGGGGCACCTTTTATGTTACCGTCCCTGGGAACAGCGCCCCCTGGAGGTATGCAGTGCAACCGCCCTGAGCCAAAGCTTCTGCAAACTGGATTTTTTTTTATTTTTATTTTTATTTTTATTTTAGTTAATGCCTAAAGGATAGGATTGAGCCAGCCTCAGAGAAATCTTGAAGAGTACTGCAGGTGAAGGAAACAAGTCTGAAGCTTGAAGGGTAGTAGGGGTTAAGAGTTCTGGAGACTTACAGGCCTGGATTCAGATTCCAGCTCCAGCACTTAGGAGCGCATTCAGTCCCTGAACCTCTCTAGGCGTCAGTATCCTTGTCCGTAAAGTGAAGATGACAATACCTACCCCATTTGACGACTGTGAACATCACATGAGATAATGCACGTAAAATGCGTATCCTTGTACTGGACCCATAATAATCAATAATTGGCTATTTCTCTTGTTTTATTTTTGCTGTGTGTTTTGGCCTACTAAATGGAAAAGAAAAAGTTATGACGTTCCCCTGGACTCATGCCAACTAACCTGTACGTGGGACTGGCCCCCAAAATGCTCAGCCAGTTCTCTTATTAACACATCTTTCTGTGCCTTGGTTTTCTCATTTTTGAGAAATAATCTCACAAGGCTATTCTAAAGATTAATGAGTTAGTGCACTTAAAGGTCTTACAAGCACTTAACAAGTCATTAAGTGCTCCAAAAATAATTAATGATAGCCATTATAATTTTTATCACTATACCATGCTGATCATCTGACATCTTGAAAGACCCGCATTCATCTGTAAGGTTGTCTTTATCTATTGTATGTACACATATATTTTCATCATCAACAATACACATTTTAGTTTTAATTGTCATAAGACTAGATAATAGAAGGGTTAGAAAAATAGATATGATCAACTGTATGTTCAGTTGAGTACATTTATAAAAAGTCATCCAGGCTGTCACTTTCCCTCTATTCCTCAGGTACTGAGAAGCAAGGAGAGCCACAGGTTGGTAGAAAATTTAGCCCTGGATTCGTGGCTGTCAGTTGGGAGGGAGAAAAATAATTTTGCATTGGATTCTTGTCCTTCCACTACCTACCTCTTGAAACTAAACATTATATGTAAATAACTTACTGAGCATCATCTTTAAAACTCAAGATTTCGTATAAAATAACTTCACAAAACTGTGTGGTGTTAGCTATTTACTACCTTATCAAGCATCCCAGCACTTTAGCATCCTGTTAAGAAAGCAATAAAAGTCATCAAATGTTGGGCCTTACATCCCATGGCAAACACTGTCTCCCAGGGTATATGGGAGACTTAGTCCTGATTATAAAGGAGGTTCTTTTCCTGAGAACGCCTTCATTGAGACATCATTTCATTTGTCTTTTGTGGGCAGCTTCCCAAGTCTAGAGGTTCAGGAGATTCCTACTGGAATTATGTAAGCAAAACCAGCACCTTGTGCTTCTGTTAGCACATGCTTTGTGCAGGCAGGGAGTGGAGGCACGGGTCGCTGCTTGCCTTGGACGCCTGGTGAAGGTTCTGAGCAAAATAATAGAGAGCTCTGTGCAGAACTTGGCAAAATGTCTCCTGTTCTTCCATCCGGAATTTGGACTCTTTCCCTTCGCATGTTATTCTGACTCTCATTGCCTCCTGGGACTCCATATCATATTTTAAATCCCCTTTGTTCCTTGGTGGTTAAATATTAAACTCATTTCTTCCTGAAGTCTGAAATGCCTGGGTCCACAAAGGCCGATTGTTAATATAAACTTTATAAAGGTGTCTCGTGGTGCCGCTAGAGGTCCATCTGAGTGGATGGGACTCGAGGTGGACAGGACAGTCAGGCGGAGAAAGGGAGAGAGAGGAAGGGCATTGGTTCTGTTACCTCAACTTTGACAATGTGAATGTGAGTGTAGCCAAAACTGGGAGATGAGCCCAGCTTTTGAAAGTTCTGAATGTTTCTGCCACCATGAAGAAGTGCAACACTTGCCCTGGTGAATCCCATGGACCATGTGACATGGGAACAGGAAAGTTAGTTAATGATGAAGTGGGGAGACTCCAGGTCTGGCCGTTGGCAGCAGGAAAGGGAGAGAAATGCTGTGAGATTAAGGAAGACGGCAGTCCGCGGACGTCAGACCCGCCCGTCCATGTGAGACAAAGAGCCTCTGTTTTTTCAGATTTTCTTTCTGCCAATCTCAGCTGCATCAGATGTGAAAAATCATTTCTGGTGCTTTCCTTGGTGGAAAGGGAATGGGAGGCAGTGGTATACCGTCTTACTTTTAAAGTGCGTATTATTTCTCATCACCAGCGCACAGTCATCCACTCAATTTACTTGTCAGCCCACCTGCTTTGCTTCCCTTCTTGCTTAAGAGAACTGGCTTGCCCACACTCCACACACCCATCTTAGTATATAAATGGAAAAAAAAAAGTGTGAAATCAGAATCATCTCTTTTTATCAGTGAGAGACCTTGTACATTTGCTGGTTTACCCTGTCATTTTATGAATGGAGAAGCAGTCTTAGAAAAATTAATAATAATAGTAAGAACTAACATTCATTGCACTCTAAATATACATCATGTCTTCTCTGGAGGATCTCATTTAATCCTCACACGACTCCATAAGGTAGGGTCTAGTAAAAACCCTCATCTTATAGGCAAAGAGCTCTCTCTC